ATCTCTGGAGGACAGCATCACAGTTGCTGAGGCCGTGCATGCTCTTTACAGCAACTATCAGATTGACGGTGGTCGTCGGCTCACCGGTGGCAACGAGCTTGACGCCCCTTATGTGGATGGTGATATGATAGATGCCCCGTTCGTTTCCGAAAAGACCCGTCAGTTCTTCTGGGACGATCGTGATATGGACTGGATGAGCAAACGTAAACTGAGGTCTTCTGAAGGGTTCAAGGGAATCAGCTACTTCACGATCGAGAAGGGCTCGGCTGCTGACAAGTATTTCCATGCTCACCGCACTCTTGCCGAGATCGTCAAGTTCGAGTACCCCAACGGTTGTGTCGCTGCTGGTGGGAAGCAGGAACAGAAATACTGCATTTTCGTCTCTCTAGACGCCTCTCTCGATCCTTCTGTAACTCTCAAGGCCGGTATGAGCTTCATCGATATTCATGATGCCAGTAAAGTCGCTCATCTGTCCATTGGAGTGACCTTGAAAAAGAACGAGGATAGTATGCTGAGCCTTACCATCGATGCTGGCGGATGCGCGGTCGTGTTCCAGTATGGTCAAACCGATGGAACCCATCTGAAAATATCTGTATGCATGACCAGCAAGGACCCGGCTAAGAAGAGACCAGATGGTGCGATCGAGGGCGAGGTTGCAATCACCGTCAACTTCATGGTCCACTTGCCGTACGTTGGTGACCTCATCGACTGGGATGTTAACGCCAAGGTTAACTGCACTGCCGCCCTCAAGAACGACATTACAGCATACGGCGTTATCGGCACTTCTGCAAGTGCTAAGGTCGCGTACGCCGCTGTGAGCCTCGACATTACGGCCAACACTCTTGATCATGCGTACAACAAATGGCACTTCGTGTCTGGTGTTGATTTCCACGCTTGGGCGGGTGTGTGGAAACTCAAAAAGCATTGGGACTATCACTGGGCGCTGTACGAGGCCGGCCCTGTAACTATATAAAGTAGAACCCGGTGTCAAGATATTGAGAACTAATGTTAAGA